ACATATTCATATATAACGATATTGCAAAATTGATTTAACTTTATGCATTTACTATTTGAAATAATACAAACCACTTATTTTTCTAATGCTTTATAAATAATATTTATGTGTACCCAGAGAAAAATTTTAAAGTCGTAAGTGTACCATTTATCGTTGAGAATCTCTGAATTTTCCATTATACTGGTAAATAAGTTACTCTACAGCTGTATCTTTGTGAGAGACTCTTATTCAGCACTTTATACATTCTATTAATAAATAAAAAATAAAAGGATGTTCAATTTCTTAATCAATGGAAATTTCAACATAGACTGATTTTTGTAGTACACTGCAAACATTTCTATGAGAAACAGCTCTAGGAAATGACAATATTTCATGATGCATTACATTTTTAAGGAAGGGATAATATAAATATTCAAATAGTTTTCAATTTTTTCTGCTTTTTTCTGACTCTGACTTTCAGTTTCTAACTTTGAAGGAAATATTACAATTTAACTAAAAGCTTTATTTTAAGTTTTCAACTAACATGGCTACTACGAACATTTCCCTTTCATATTCAGACTAGTTTATAAAGCTTTACTGAGAACTAATAAAATCACTTTATTATATAGCTTCTGGCGGTACATTTCAAATAACTCTTCAATAATTGGAGACACCAAATCACTGCATACTGATAAACCTCCAGAATTTGTAAGCTCTTAGGTACACTAAAATTTTCATAATGTTTTCCACTTGAAAGTAAGTTATAAGCACAATCATTGAATTTCAGAAATGTAAGCTATAAAATACCTAATGTCATGGTAAATCATGTACTAGAAAGAACCTTTTCTTCATGACACTACAAATTGTGCTATATATATAAAATGGAAACCTGAGGCTAAAAACTTGTATACCTAATGCTTATTCATTTTCATCTGTGAGGAGCAAAGTTGATGAAGTCTACCTTCAGTATTCCATCTTTCTTTTCTGTGATCTTTTCTCCTCGTGCGAATGTTTTCTTTCAACAACTGGACTGCATGTCCAGTGTATCTTGCATGCGTGGAAACACACTTTGTTAAATGATATAGTACAGTAATTTATTTTAACATGAAAATAATGGGTAAGATTTTATCAAAAGTGTGCACTTATTTATTTTAAATGAGGAACAAGTCATTTTAAAAGTGACTGTTCTCTTACTATAGAATTCTTTTAGCCATCAGTGACCAGGTGAGGGAAGCATTTTGAAGTAGATTTGTTCTTTGACATAAATTCAATATTATGCATAAGCACTGTGTGATACAACACAGTGAAATTATATCACATTATCAGTTACCTACAATACCTAAATACAGGGCTATGCATAAATCTTGTCAGTATATATCTTGGATTAACTTGTGTTTCATTTTTCCTTATGCCTCAGTGTGCTAAGTTCTGTGGTAAATATTAGTAGCTATCTGAAGACAATGCACTTTTCTACATAAACACAGATGATGAAAATGCAAAGAAGGCTAGCACTACAATATACTGCATAGCTCTTCTTTAGGAGAAACGTGATGAAGACTGGTCACCATAAGACACCTGAGAGTGAGATACAAACAGAAGATCTATGATCAAAATTTATTTCTTAACACCTCACTAGTGTTTTAATGGAAGTATGATCTTCACCTAGATGCCCACATGCAGTACAACTAAAAACGATAACACTTAGTTCAGTGTGTTCCTGGTTAAATCTTGTCATGCTAAGTGACAAGAAAATGGTGATAAGAATTTATGTATTGACCAACTGTTAAAATAAATTGGATCTGTCTCATTACTTGACTTCTATGCTTTGAATTCATATTTGTATTACAAGCTTGAAGTCACAGGAATGTCATCTTAATCAATGTTTTCCAGACAACATGGAAAGGAACAAAATATTCCAATACTAAAACATCAAGCTCTTTTTATTAAAAATAACTTAGTAGTATTTGGGAATACTTTCTCTAATTTCCTAGAAGATTTCTGAATGAAGTTAGAAAGAAACAACGGTTTAACAAATCAATACTGCTTATAGCACAAACAAAACTTTCTCAGTAACTAGAAAATACAGTGCAACCCAAATCCTATATCATTTGAAATGGTAAACCTTTGAGTCAGTGTAGCACACTCTTAGGACATAAATCATTGACATATAATGAAACTTTTATTCCTGTTTTCAGTAATAATAAATAGAGATATATTTTATGAGTAATTACAACATTTTGAAAAAATCCCATACCACACCTCACAGTCCAGGACTTTGCATTAGTTTACTGCAATAGTTATATTTGAAACATACTTGTGTATAATAAATAGTATTCAAGCAGCTGTCAAATGATCTACTGAGTACAAAGTCAATGCATCAACACCAAAATTTAATGAAGAATCTAACTTACCGGTGGATCTGCCCCCTTAGAACCAGTCAGCCCTCCTGTTAGGGATTCGATATCCTGAAAAGGGGAAAGGTTTTGATTATAAAATGCTACTCAAAGCATGGATACCCCCAAGTCTCTCAATGTAATATTGTCTTTAGCTATAAAATTAAGTCAATTATCTACTTTAAAAAAAACCTAGCACACTGCAGTACTATACAAATAGTATACATCTAAAGATCTACATACTTTCTCAAACAGTGTACAGTCTGTAAAAAAGATAAAAAATAAACCTGGTAATTATTCTTGAGATATGCAAAGAAAACAGTTCTAGACAGGAAAACAGATTTTTCATCCTTAAAGAGTCTAAGTGAGGGTAGAACAAGAAAGAAGAAATAAAATTGCAATTGACATGTTTTAAAGAATATTAATCACATGTGAAATGACTAAGCTACAAAATTTTAAAATTATTTCTGCTTAACTTTATTTGTACATATAGAAGATATAAAGCAATATGGGCAGTTTAGAGGTTCTTTTACAAAGATCAATTTATAATTTCTTGCCTGAGTAATGATTACAGATGTTGAAGTTATAATAAATGAAGACATGGATAATATAATCAAATGTGGGGGCTGTGATATGTTGGCAGAGACAATTAAACTTGGCCCTATCAGCTACAGGATTTTGACATCAGGGCTATCTTTCACATGACTTCAGAAGAAACGAAAATTCCAAATTTTAAAATAAAAAATCCCAAATGTTTAATATTAACAACTTATTTAAATTTCAAACCATCTCTCTTTCCTTACAAATGAATAAAGAAACTAAGCAAGCAAAGAAACACACACACAGAAAACCACACATATAAGTTCAAAGGCTGCTGGTTAGAAACTGAGGGCTACAACGAAGTTATACTTTGGCTAAATGGGCTGTTTCTTACATTCCTGATCATATCTTATTTATTTGCATCTAACTGAAGGGATAGCTCTGAAGAATCTAGGAAAATATAGTTGCAATGAAAATATGGAATTGAAACATAACTGGTATGAGAAACTGAAAGTGTAAAGCAGGATCAAAATGTATAGTAGACATTGTGAAATAGGAAGAAAATGTTCAAATGTGAAAGGGAAAGAGGGAGGGATTAGGAGGAAAGAAAGGCAGGGAAAAGGTAAAAATGATAAAAGAAAGATAAGATAGAAACAAAACTTTTATAAATAAGAAGGGGAAGAGGATGAAGTGAGAGAAGTGGAATGGGAAAAAGGAAGGATCAATATATATCATGTACAGGTACAAATTCTCTATGATGAATGCGATCATTAGGTATGTTTAAAGTGTACCAGTAAAAACAATTAATAAAAAAAGATAACTGGCTCAAGATTGTATAAAAGAAACTTTCCTATAATTTGCTCAGCAGTTGATACTTTGATATTATTAAGGGAATGTATGTTACCAATTCACTTGGGAATTAATCAGACCCTTTTTCCTAGGATTTCAAGACGGGGAAATCTTAATACAATACAGAGTTGAGATTAGCATCTCAAACATCTAGAAACATAAAGGCAGGAGAGGAAGAAAGGTTGGTGTTTAAAATATTTCCATTTGAAGAAGATGATTTTGAGCAAGAACTCAATGGATAATCAGTTTTGTTGCGCATGCTGTACTAAGGATCACTTATAATAAGACAACTACAAGGAATATTTCCAAGATAATTATTGAGTTTTCATCTCTGGAATTGGTATGTTGTGTGTATAAATGTATAAATATTAATATATTTTTCTCCTACTCAGCACCCTTTTGAGGAACTACCCTTTTCCCTCTCCCATTCTTGATTTAAAAGGGTAAAAAAAGTGCATCACATTAGAGGAGCCTGCCAGAGAATTAAAACAATACAAAATCTTGATTCTCTCATTGCAATAATGTTTAAAACTCCATGATCTTTCTGTCTACAATTCATTTTAAGACAGATCCCCAGCTTTCAAGAGCCAAACTATCTCAGTTAATACAGTCATTAATTTATCCATTTGCCAAGCATCTTTCCTCACCATCCTGTTGAAATCCTTATTCAGACATCATACACACCACAAAAAATCAAGTCATCTAAATTTGGTCTTAAATGTCTTAAGTGTCCTTTAACATTCTTATTGAATGACTTAAGTAAATTATGTCCCTGCAAAATAAAATAAAGCATTAAATATATATTTCTACATCAGCAAACAAACATCTGCACTGAATTCAAAAACAAAATATAATTTTTAAATATCTTGAAATTTCAGGAAATGACAGTGTTAGTAAAATGGCTACAATCCAAATTTAACAGAATATAAAATACACAGTTCAATACATTATGTGACAATTCACCTGTTATGGTCATAACAAAATCAAAGTTCTAATCATATGAAAGATTACTACCAAATAAATTTAAAATAGAAGAAAATTATGTTAAGTACATACTGCAATTAAACATTCCTTTCTCCTTAGTCAAAGAGAGGCAGATACGAGGGCAGTCTGCCTGCAACCCCTCACCCCATTGATCACCAGAGTTGATTGGCTGATGTGACTGGGTAGGCAGAGGTCCTCTACCTCCCTCACCGCTCCTATGTGTCCTTCCGGAAGCTGCGCGATCCATGGATGAGGATGACCGCCCCATAGAGGGGGATGGGTTCCTTGGTCAAGGGGATACAAGTCGCTGTGCTTCCCTGCTAGAATTTCCAAACAAGCTGTCAAAAAGAAAGGTATCTACCTTATATTAACAATAAAACTTCTTTTATTATTTTGTTTTGTTTGCTTTTTTGAGACAGTTTCATTATGTAGTTCAGGCTGGCCTTGAACTCATTACATAGAAGAGGCTGGCATCAAAGCATAACATTCTCCTGCTTCAGCCTCCTGAGGGCTGGGATGAAAGATATGCACACCACACCTGGGTAACAATAAAATTTTTAATGGAGAAACCTGTTTAAATAACAAGACTTTTAAGAATTTAGTTGATGCACATTTTCATATTTTAAAAATTCTATACTGAAAAATGTCTTGCTATCATGAATACGCTGTAACAATTTTCAGATTTTTAAAATTTTGTTTTTCATAATGGTCATGCTTTTGAAAAAAGTAAAGCAAAGAAGAATTTAAAAGATGATTGAGAAAAGGTATTGATGTTTTTGTTTTTAATTGCAAATTATGAAGTATATACAGATATACACTTCTATACTTTTTATTCACTCAATTTTAAACCAGCGTTTGAGTTTATACTCCATTTTAAGTATGTTGAAAAAAAGCATCCTACCTGGACAGAAGCCCATGTTAAATAGTTTATTACATGATACAAAAGAATTTTCAGATATGTTAATGAATGTAAGTGTATATAAATGAATTCATGTAGTAAAATTAATACAAAAATAAATCCTTTGAGGAACTCTGAACACATGCATTACTATATAGTTAATTGGTAACTAAAAATCAATCTTTTGCATGGTTGTTGAATATTTTATCTGTAAAAGTCAAAACATTAACAAACATATCCATATGGTTATTCAACTATATTTATATATGCAAGCAAAAAGCAATAACCATTATGAAAATAATAATTTCCTAGAAAGGCTTTAAATTTAGTATATAATATTAGTTTGATTAAAATATTGAAAATAAAAAAATTAGTCTTTACTACGTCATGGAGCTTACTTAACTATATTCTGTATTTGTATAGATCATTCTTTGAATCTAGCAGGTACTAAAATAGCTGCTACTTACCAAGTGTTTCCTATGCTCCAGGTATTACTTAAGCAATTTATGTACATTAATCCTATACTTCCTATAAATTAGTTATTTATCTTCTAATATAAAAGGTTGTACAGTGCACTCAACAGAAGAGTGTATAAATATTAAGAAGTGGGATTGAAAAACGTTTGTGTTTTCCAAGCTGGTATTTAAAAAAAAAATGCTAGGACTATAGGAACTGGCCTACCTTGGCACCCTAGTAACCTTTACTGGTGCCTATGTTGGCCAAGTAAGCAAGATCGCAACACAGACTGTTTAAGTCTGAATATAGTGTCCTGTGAGTGGCTCAGACCTTGGCAAGGCAGGCAGTCTTAGGAGAAGCCTGCACACAGCTGTTTCTCCTTTGCTTCCTTGCAATCAGAGAGGTAGGAGACTTTGCCCTGCACTTCTTCCCATACTGGATGGATCCACAGAACATTGGAATTCATAGATGCAGGGTCGAATTGGCCCTTGCCTGACAGAGCCGTTTACCTCTCTCGTCACTCAGCTCATCTAGTTAATGATTGTCTTGAGGGATGGGGGGCCAGGGACAGAATTTGAATGAGGTAAGCAGGTGCCTATGGTGAAAAATTTAAGGAGACATTATTTGGAGTTATCGCATGTGATTCTAGAACGAATATCTCTTAAATTTTGGGTCTAAACTCTTTGTCTCACCTGCATCTGCGCCATTCTAGAAAACCTGGGGATCTGAAACAGTGGTGGCCTTCCTTATTAAAATAAACCTCCACTTGGATTTATTGCCTCCATACTACTCAAAAAATGAATAAATAAAAAAAGAAGAATGACAAGCCAACCCAAATCAGAATTTTTCCTATGCTGTTGCTCATAGACTACTTGTTGTTCTACAGCAGCATTATCTATCCCCACTGTACAGATTGCTATCATCTATACAGGACAGTGAAACCAGGATCTATTACTTAAATGATCAAATTAATTTCTTAAAAAGTTTTTAATAGTGAAAATTTTATTTTCCTCTCCAAGATGCTGAAATACCTGAGGTTATTGGCTAATCCTTGACACAAATTTAGGATCACTGTTTTAACACTAGGAAGCTCAACTCTTAGGATGAAAACAGGTTTAGCCAGGGCTGGGCCATGATTAGAAGTCTTAAGAAAGACTGATGGAAAGGCTAAGTTTCAGGAGGAGAAGTCCAATCAATGTCAGAACTCTAAGTAAGGTAAGACTTGAAGGAAGCCTGAAGCATAGAGTATGATCACCACACACATTCGACATAACCTCAAATTGTACTGAACTTGTGCTACTACTTGTCCACAAGTACCCCTCTCCGTGACCATCTGCTACAATAG